TGAACAAATAATATTATTAGAGTTAGCAAATTCATAAAAAAAATCCAACCTTCATATATCAAAAACCACCCGTCTTAAGACGCTATATGCACAGGTTTAACTAAAGTTTGTTCATAAATTATAATAGTTTTACCGAAAGACAAGTTAGGATGCTAGCAGAGTTCAAAGTTCATGATAGACTAAGAACACCCGCAAGACTGCCTTGGATATATACCCTAAGACATTTGTGTGCATACGATACTAAAGAAGGTAAAGTCACTTGTAGAATTTCATTAATCGCTGAATGAGATTTGAGGTGAACCTTGGTGACTTAGGTTCATATAGAGATAGCAAAAAATTTATTATAATTGTCATTACTGTAAACACCTTAATAAGTAAACTTTGTTAAATTAAATCCACATGATTATGTAGAATAACAATGGAACTCATTGTTTCCTTGTCAAGTTCATGAACTTAAAAACCCAATGAAATTGCTCAAAATAATGAAATTAAATGCCAGTGAAAAAGATACTATGCAGCCATGTCACGTACAAAATGTAGTCCAAACATGGAATATGGTTCCGTGGCAAAATGAAGTTCATACTTGTACATGTACTGTAAAATCTGTATTAGAAGCCAAGGCTTCTATTAAAATGGTACAATGCAACAGAGGGGATGCGGCTTCTATGAGAGCATCTACACATATGAATTTTTGGTTCTCAAATGTTTAAAAAAGAATGGGTGAGACTTCTATTAGGGATGCGGCTTCTAATACATATTTTACGGTACTATTTTTACATGCAAGTATCAAATCTAAAAGATATTCACAAATCCATGCTTAATGTCTATAACTGTTGCAGGCACACAAAAATATAAAAAATGCATGTTTATAAGGTTAAAATGCCCTGACGGTCACAAAACCAAGTACATGTAGACCCTGAAGGCAGGTGGAACAAGCTATTTAGATTTGATTCTGTAGGAGATGTGCTTCTAATAGATTAAATATGGTATATACAGAATGCTATTATAGGGACATCTCATGAAGAAATGTTTCTTAGAATCTTACGCTGCTGGCTGAGACACTTCATTCCTTATGATATACAATGATAACAAACCCTGTAGTGCACACGTCCCAGGTGAAGTCACGCAAAATCTTCATAGTATTTGATCAAAGTTCTTGCCTGCAGACAAATCACTTTTCTTTGTCTGCTTTTCCACTCTGGGACTTATATGCTTTCAACGCAGGGTCACAGGGCACTAATTTTAGTTGGCGTTGTCAGTTGTAATCTGTCGGGCTCTCTGAATGCAAGGTAGACTGCTCCAGGCGCCTGCACAAGTCATCTCACTAGAGAGGTATGATGGAGAATGTGCAGCAATACGCTTGTACTGTGTCAGCTCTTTGATGTTTGTCATTACTAGACCACCTACAACACGACTTACTTCCTTAGCATAGTTGACGGGAAATTACTTCCTTAATAAAAAAAAATCATGTCGTAGTGATTGGTTGCATGATAGCAGGAGACATATTGATTCTGCCGAAAACCCCCCACCCACTGAACAGTGAATAGTATTGCGCCTATATAGTTACAGACTCAAAACAGCTGTAGGCTACATCCCACAATGCACCATTACACTGGACAGAAAGTCAATTGTATCTAGTGGGAAAACAGACTGTTTGCGCAACAAGACAACCCATTTCACGGTTCTAGACATAGAGACAAACCCAGGTCAAGTATACAATCCTGGATGTATCACATTGTTTTTTGCCCAATTTATTTGTTTGCTATTCATGGAGGTTTTCAGTCTGCAATGTGTTAAAATTAAAACATGAAATTGGACAGCAAGACATACTTTCACACCATGCTAGTGAATCTGTTAAGAAAAGCAAATCAGATACAACTGCGACAAAAAGATAAATATAAAACGCTAATTGCCGATAAGACAAGTGACTGATATAAAAGAGAAATGTAAATAATTTGATGCCATGTTTCCAACCAAAATAATGCTGCAAATTTAAAAAAAATTATATGACCGTATTGAGTGAAAGATAAAAAAAGTTGAATCAAAGGGTTAATAAAGCGACAAAGTCATTTACAATGACTATCAATTATTCCTTAGGTGTACAACTTTTTCTCACATGATGCCCGATGAATTACCAATGTAAACATGTAAGTAAATTGCGAGCCCAGATTCTTCAAAACACCACAGTCACTGGGATGTGCGTTTATTAATTAATACGTATCCAATGCAACACAAACAATACAATACAATAAACGTTATTTACTAGAAGTTTAAATGTACACTGTGATGACGACAATATTACTTTGGTGAATGACACTCAATAAACATTAATTCTATATGTATGCAAATAAATGCAAACATGCTAAAAGATCATGAATTAATAGTATCTCAAATTCGTTACCCAACAGCGTTGGATTCAAATCACAGTCTTTAATCAAATTTAATGAATCTGAAATTATTAGGCCACTCAGCTAAAAATACTGACATGTTATCACAAAATGGCCATCAGTTGGCCATTTTAAGCCTTTGTTAACACAAACGTCAACTTTTGTCATCAGTTACAAAATAATGATGCATACTTGAAAAGATTACATAAGATTGAATCAAGTTGAAGCTTTCTTCTGCTTGTAGTGGTACTGTCACAACATTTTTCAGTCAATACCATCAATTCTCATTTCAAAATCACTGTGGCTGATACTTGACTCATTAGAAGAAAAAGACGAGCACATCACAGTGGCTATACACAAAACTGTAGTAGAGTATTTCATCCAGGGTTTATTCTTTTTACCACCAGACTTTTTCACCAGACTTTCTCACCAGACTTTCTCACTCGGAATTGTTTCGTACGTTTTTCTTATATTCTTTAATATTTCTGGAACTGAATCTTAATTTTGGAGCTGATAGACAAAATTTTAGTAAATTTTTGCTTTTGTCCCCATTTTCTGAAGACTATAGACACGGTTTTGTGAATTTGTGATGAAAAGCGGGAACTCGTGGTGATAAGGTTAAAGGTTGCTGTGATGTGTGAGTGCATTATACATGTAGCTCCCTCCTTCATGCCTGCCATTTTAGAATTATGCATATTAGGAAAACAACAAAAACTTGTACATATATATATGGCTTACTGGCATCATGAAAAACTCAAAAACAGATCCCAATATGTTAGAGTTCAAAAGACCTTTTCTGTACTACAAATAATCAACAACCGTCAACATCTCAGTATAAAAAATATGTTTTCACTTACGTAGATGTATGTGTGCAAGCACATTTCAAAATCAAAACACTGTACATGTGAGGGTTAAAGTTCCTAAAAAATATCTTTCTGACTACATTACGTTACCTTTGTAAAACCAAACTGATCGCTTGCGTCATATCGGGTGATGCCACCTGAAGTCGTTTCCATAGTGACCAAACAAATTCTTTATCTGCCTAGAGGGTGAAAAAAGAAAAATAGTTTACATATAAATTACATATACTACCTGATATACATTAATTAATTTAGGCTTGATAGTTGAATCCTGGTTCTATCACCCACTGACAACTACATTGCAACTACATAGCTCAAGTTTTTTTCTAATTAATTGCTTTATTTTGGCAAGCATAATAAATTCTTGAGAATGAGCACCAGAATCATAAAGGATTTCTTG